CACTCGATCTAGAAATCATATTCACATACCTACCTACAAAACTAATTATTTTAAACATAATATTAGATACTCAGGCCCCACAATGATGAATAATCTCCCACCCCCAATTCTAAACGTTGATTCTCTAAGAATATTTTCAAAAAATTTAAACTTCACCTAATGTCGTTCTATTAAATTAATATTTGCGGTCAGATTTGATATGTTCTGCTTTCGCATTAACTTCAGTTGTTTGTTTGTTTGTTTATTCATTTATTTATTTTTTTTTTCTCCTTTTTTTTGTTTTTTTGGCTCTTCATTTTTTGTCTGTATTGACTTTTTTTTTCTTTTTCAGGCATGCCCATCACAAGATCTTTATCTTCTCGGGATCATGCCTTCTTCCATAGTTTACATTTTTCTTTTAAAAACCTTATTGTATTGCGTTGTTTTGTGTTCTATGGAAGTTAATAAATGTCTTGAAAGAAAAAGAAAGAACGTTAACAGCATGTTGCTTTTGATATTTTTAATTAATATTCCATATTGTCTCTTAGGCATTTAGAGTTTATGGATTGTGCCAATACATAATCATGGTGTGTCTATATATGGTCATGATGTGATGTCATCATGACAATATTTAGGCATGTTTGGAAAGGGCTTTACCCTAATAACAGATAAATGTGTGCTCAAATTTTCTTATAATGCTAATTTGTGAGAGTGGGCTGTTAATCATACATTGAATTTGTTTGTTTCCTAGGCATTTGGAGTTTTTGGATTGTGCCAGGTGTTTGCTTTAACTGAATACTTGCGTGCCAATCTGAGTGACCAGTATTTTAGCATTCTTTTCCGAAGTGTTATGATTATAATCACGTCTGTTGTGACTGCAGTTGGTGCTGTTTTATCTTGGACTGGCAGTATCCTTTTTATACTATATAAACTTTTAACAATAAAGTAATACAATTTTATTTTACATTGAAGAAGAATATATATTGGCACATATTGGTAAGCATTCCGTGCAGACCCGTTGGCAGCAGCAAAAGGAGCGCTCTTCTTTAGGTATAATATAAAAGATTATAGATGGCGAAAAAAATGATATGAATGATTACTACTATGACCTTAACAAATTTTTGCAGAAATTTCTCCATGGACAGGACGTTTCTATTCCCTTCTGGATCCTTCGTATGCCAAGAATAACATTCCCATCATTGCGTCTGTCTCTGAACATCAGCCTACTACGTGGAGTTCATATTACTTTGATTTGCAGATGCACGTCTTCATGTTTCCAGGTATCAATTAAATTTCTCTTATAACAAGTATCGCTTGTGAGCAGTGGGTGGCTCCAGAAATTTGCCGGCAGGGGTTCCGACATGTAAGACAAGGGGGGGGGGGTTTAACCAAGTGACTGGCTAGAGCCTCGTTCAGGGTTCTGGAATAAAAAAATCACTGGTTTAGACCACAACAGGGACTGGCAATAAAAATAGTGTTATTTGGATAAGCAAATTATTATTTTCGATCCGACCACCTCATTGTGGCGTCGGACGATTGGGGGTCCAGGTTTACGCTGACTTCTGTTGTATGTAGTGGGATGTATAGCATATATAATACCAGTGTTTATTAGCTTATGTGTGTAATCATGGGATGTAGAATCAATTATACACAAGTCTAAGAGTGGCATTTCCGGCCATCTAGCGGTGTAATAATCACAAGTTTTCTTACCTTAGCCCCTAGACCCTTCAACTGTGGAAGTCCCTTCCTGGCCTCCTCTATTTCAAATTCGTGGTTGCGCCACTGATGTATTTGTGCATGTCTTACCAAAGATCATTTTCTTTCCAAATAAGTAGCTTATATGGTGACCTGGCGATATTCTTTATAAGGTGATTGATTATTTGTGTTTTTCAGTTGGTATGTACTATTGCTTCTGCAAGTTAACTGATGCCAATATTTTTATCATTTTGTATGGTATTACAAGTTTATATTTCTCTGTAAGTACTGTAATTTACTATATTTTGTGTTTACACTCTAATATGACATTTGATTCATTAAATCTTGAATATGTAAGCCAGAGTACATAAGCCATAAATGATATCGAAGCCATATGTAGATCAGTACAATCCAGTATGTGGAAATAAATATGCACATATTTTAAGAAATGATGACATTTTGGAAGGCTAATGATTTCCAGTCAAGTAATTTTAATGTAGATGTATTTTTAACATTGGTTTTTTTGTTTTTTTTGTTTTTTTTTTAAATTCTTTATTGGTCCTCATTCTAATTGGAAATAGGAAATTTGGGCTGGCCCCTGCAGACCCACATCAGCCGCAATGGAGCGCCCCCCCCCACTTAACTATAACATATAACAGGACACATACGGATACAAACGTTGTTCTTAACCCTCCATATAAGGGTTATTCAAGGAGCCATGCGTCAGACTCCAATTAAATCTCGACACTGAATGAGCTTGAACCTGAGTCTTCAATGCAAGTAGCAGAAACAATACCACTCAGCCAACCACTTAGCTCATCATTATTATCTTTAAATATTTTTTTTTGGTTGGAGGGGGGGGTGGTGTTTGATAATAAGGTATTTTATTACATACAAAGCTTTAAAGAAATAAATAAAACAAAAGTACATACATTTTAAACCTACAAAACAGTTTTAAGTGGCACTTTTAAGATGGTTTTTATTAAAATTTTTTTCAGGGTGTGATGGTACGTTTGATGTTAGTACTTGCGCCTGTTATGTGCATCCTGTCTGGTATTGGAATCTCGTCTGTGCTAACAACTTACATGAGAAACTTAGACATTACCAGGAAGGATAAGAAAACAAAGAAAACAGATTCAAGTTATCCAATCAGAAATGAGGTTAGATTACAACTATCCAATAATATGATACATTGTAAACATGCCCATCACAAATTAGGTTTGCCATTCCAAAGCCAGCATACTGTCACTAAATGTTAAACTGAGTAATTAGCATAAGAATGTGGTAGTATTGTATACTTTAGTACAGAGAAGCTGTAATACTTATACTCGTAACTTTGGCAATAGTAAGTTGATTTCAGTAAATGACCCATCATTTTAAAGCTTTATGTGGAGAATAAGAATATGTTAAAAAGTCAATTTTCATTTTTTGGTCACTAATACTGGTTTTAGGATGGCAGGCCTTAAATATTGTCAGTACCAGAAAAAAATAATAATGACACTGTAATATACTTAATTGTATTTCAGGTTGCAACTGCTGTTATTTTATTGGTGACTTTCTTCCTGATTACATACACATACCACTGTACTTGGGTAACATCTGAGGCTTACTCTTCCCCCTCAATTGTGCTGTCAGCGCGTGCTGGTGACGGTGGACGTATTATTTTTGACGACTTCAGGGAAGCTTATTACTGGCTGAGGCATAACACTCCTGAAGTAAGTGCACAGCTTACAAACTGTTTTGTAGGTTTAAAATGTATGTACTTTTGTTTTATTTACAGCTTAAGACTCTCTTGATTTTGCATGGAGATAGGGGGCGCACTAGTAGAATTTGAATAGAGTTTGAAATTCTCTACACGCAGCACGCATACACCATCTCTCTTCAATTTATATTTAAACGCTGTATATTTCGTGATAGTACTTTTTGTGATAGGATTCTGTTTCAAAGAAACCCGGAGTCGGAGCTCTTGCTATTCTGTAGTCTTTGCTTTCAGGGTCTGTTTTAGTTTACGTTTTTTCTTTGTGTAATTTATACCAAT